AAAGCGTTAATCACACAGAACCCATTAATGAAGCGATACTGAGTAGAACCCTCAGGATAGCCTATCGCGTTCACAATGTGGAACACTGAAAAGCTATGCAACTTGCTCATGTGACTACAGCAACTGCTTCTTGAAAAAGGGAGTCTGCTGTGGAAACTGGAAACTTTTGGAATCTTGGTGAATAGTAAGTAGCAACATGCTTTTAAATCTGCTCCTTGACGTTTTGTATCCAGGTCTAGCATCCTCTAAACCATCATTAAATTGTGTAGAAAAAGATTTTTATTTCTATTTGATGCATCAAGTCGATGGTGACTTCTTGGTTGATCAAATTGATGGCTTTGTCCTTCCGGACAGTTGCAGCCACCTCAAAGAACTTGCGGTATCATAAGAGCAATTTTGTTGTTCAAGGTGATGTGATTTTCTTAAGCTGTTTCCTGTTATTACAACCAGTTCCTTGCGTTATTAACCTGTATTTCCAGACATTATTCTGATGTTCAGGATCGTGTGCTACACTTACACTGATGCATTGAATCATTGTTAGAACAAAGTTGATCAAATCCCACATGATGCGTTCATCATGTTGTCGAAAAGTTACCTGAGCTAAGTCTGCGCAAGCCCGGCAAGCACCGTTGAAAGCCAAGCGATGGAATGGAGGGATTGTCGTTTCTGGAGATGCTGTCATTTTCTTGAATTTCGATTTGTCCTCTAGCCAGAGCAGTAAATTAAAGTTCCTTGCCATCAGCGGCATCAGCATAGCAATGATGACAACAAGCTGAAATGGTATAGGACTACCCCTATATAAAACATACACATATGAAACTAATTTACATCAAATCCACTATGGAACCAAAAAACTATAGTACCATCAAAAGTATTTTGAAACAAGAGCAAGGAGACAACTTATGATAAACCAAGAAAAAAACGAAAATTAGAAGACAGATAAGGGAAAGCAGTTAACATTACTTATAGGTTTTGACTTGTTGATAAAAAACTGTTTGAATGCATTTATTGAGCTTTGACCACGTTCACTACTTTGACACAATACAATTAAAGAAGGCAAACAACGTAAAAATAATTCAAGTTTTTCGTAAGCATAAATTTTATTATTTCGATTATTGAATGCGCGCTCTTGAAAAATAAATAATAATAAATGCACCAGAGTGATTGCATGGGAGGAAAATATCGGACCCAAAGCCATTTGTGAGTATAACCTATTCTTTGGTCACTCTGGTGCAAAGTTTAAATTTCATTATCTTTTATGCTATTATTATCATTAATAATACTATCACTATTATCTATTTCTTTATTTTTATGTTCGTCATTTACATTTTCTTTTTCGTTAATCCAACATTGAATTGTCTCTCTGGTCTTTTCCCGCGGATTTATTCTTCG